AGGTGGAGGCCATCGCAAGTAGGTTGGAGGCCATCGCTACTAGGACAAGAAGCTACTAGTAGCGAGGACGCTACTAGGTGGAGGCCATCGCAAGTAGGTTGGAGGCCATCGCTACTAGGACAAGAAGCTGCTAGTAGCGAGGACGCTACTAGGTGGAGGCCATCGCAAGTAGGTTGGAGGCCATTCTAGGAACAAGGTGAAGGCCATCGCAAGTAGGTTGGAGGCCATCCCTACTGGGAGCAAGAATCTACTAGAAGCGAGGACGCTACTAGGTGGAGGCCATCGCAAGTCGGTTGGAGGCCATCGCTACCAGGAACAAGAAGCTACTAGTGGCAAGGACACTACTAGGTGGAGGCCATCGCAAGTAGGTTGGAGGCCATCGCTACTAGGACCAAGAAGCTACTAGTAGCGAGGGCGCTACTAGGTGGAGGCCATCGCAAGTAGGTTGGAGGCCATCGCTACTAGGAACAAGAATCTGAGAAGCTACTAGCAGCGAGGACGCTACTAGGTGGAGGCCATCGCAAGTAGGTTGGAGGCCATCGCAACTAGGAACAAGAAGCTTCTAGTAGCAAGGATGCTACTAGGTGGAGGCCATCGCAAGTAGGTTGGAGGCCATTGCTACTAGGACAAGAAGCTACTAGTAGCGAGGACGCTACTAGGTGGAGGCCATCGCAAGTCATCGCAAGTAGGTTGGAGGCCATCGCTACTAGGAACAAGAAGATACTAGTAGCAAGGACGCTAGTAGGCGGAGGCCATCACAAGTATGTTGGAGGCCATCGCTACTAGGAACAAGAAGCTACAAGTAGCAAGGACGCTAGTAGGCGGAGACCATCGTAGGTTGGAGGCCACCGCTACTAGGAACAAGAAGCTACTAGTAGCAAGGACGCTAGTAGGTGGAGGCCATCGCAAGTCATCGCAAGTAGGTTGGAGGCCATCGCTACTAGGAACAAGAAGCTACTAGTAGCAATTAGATGGAGGCCATCGCAAGTTTGGAGGCCACCGCTACTAGGAACAAGAAGCTACTAGTAGGTGGAGGGTGTTTGTTTCGCAAACCGGGTTTGGCAAGAGATTCAGAACAAGCGGCCAACAGAGCGAAGAAAGTCAGAACATCACTACCAAAGTGGCCAGTGAGTTCAGGTATTCGGTAGAACTATATTCCATGCGATATGCTAGCTCATGCTAGCTCTACGTTCGGACTCTCAATATACATTTGACATTGAATGTGTGGCACGTTTTGTTTCTTGGAGGGCTTGCCTCAATTGCTTTGGCTACGTGACATGTTCGTCGTCCGCATCCAAAGATATGGCTGCAATTCAACGATAAACTCATGTTGTGGTCCCAAGTGTGCATGTCCGGTCTGAAACTTTACATGCCCAAAACAGGATGTGGGAAACATTCTGTAATTGTGAACGGATTAACAACCCTGCGTGGAAGGTCAGAAGGTGCGTATGGAATCCCAAAATCATGTGGAGCATCATCCGACTATGATCATGTGGAGGGATCACAAATGATCAGGAAATCTCCTCATCAAGAGGGATCCTCATGACTACATCTCTTCATGAGGAAAGATCATGTCAAATTGAAGGGGCTTAAGAAAGGGAAGCGAGGCGATTCGCATTACTTTTGGCTCCCGCTTTTGGAAAACTGGCCAGAAGGCTTTGTGAAATGCGGTTGGCATTCCACGAAAATAATATAGTTAGGGTATGTTAATCCAGCCCTCACACCACTACCTGTCATGTTTTTGATCTATACAATTTAAACTGTGTCACTCGCTCCATTGACCTGCTTGGAATTGTATCCTTTTGTCCGTCGACAAGTGCGTCGCCAGATTGAGAGTTGGGGCCTCACGCCTCATGTGCTGTTGCTCCGATGGGTCCTCTCCTTAGCCGGGCAGCTGTCACACCAAATGGGCCGCGCACGGCCAGAGCGGCGGTTGGGGAAGGTTCCAATGCACGACTGCGGCCAATGATTTGTTCGAGCCATTTCGGAAGCTGGTCATGAACCGGATACGCGAAGATGTTCTGCCAGACCATCCGCCAGCTCTTCGTTTGGAAGAACACCAAACGACTGAGGTTCGTTTGCTCTTCCTGCGCGAGCTGAAATTTCCCTCGGATGTGCTCATAGCCACGGGCTCAGCCAAAGCAGCAAGCAGCAGATGTCGACCATGACCAGTCACCAGCACGTGTCGTCAGCACGTGTCGCACCATCCGGGTCAGCACACATCGTTATATCAACTACTACTGATCCAACTCCCATAGATCACCCGAGATGGCGGTTTAATCATTGATCATCCATGATCATTTATTGGGGCTTCGTACAAGCGTCGAGCCAAGGCATGGGACGCGATCTTCGCCGATGCGTGGACACCCGGTGCTGCGAAGGAATCTTCGATCGCCGTGGTTCCAGCAGAAACAGATCGCCGTGGTTTTGGAGAATGCACCATGATGCGCTAGATATTCTGTTGGCATTGGAACACCCTGTTTCATTTTGAGCTCGGTCCGTATTCCGAATTATGTTACATCCATTGGCCAATGGGTTCGGTGATACCCCCACTCTTAAAAATGCAATTGCCCTGGGACGGTACGTCAGAAATTGCATTTTCCAATTGCATTTGAAAAGTGTCTACTTGGCTATCACCAAGTCATTCCAATTGCATTTTATAAATATATACTGCTATTTTAAAATTACTTTTTCCAATTGCATTTGCTATCCAAATCTCGAAATTTGCAATTTTTGAATATACAGAAATCTCCATTTAACGGCCTCCAAAATCTCACATCCGACATCCTACCTGGTAGGATGTCGGATGTGGCCAATTTTTCAATGGAAATTTACATTTAAAGGCATCCAAAATCTCCAAATCTCAATGGAAATCTGCAAACTTTTCAATTCTAGGGGTGTTCATTAATCAAGGGACCACATTAGACAAACATCACTTCAGCAGCCACATCCGACATGTGACTCACCTGAAAACTGACCTGAAAAACATCAAAAACCAAACTCCACATCCAAGACCACATCCGAGACCTGGTAGGATGTCGGATGTGGTCTCGGATGTGGAGTTTGGTTTTGATGTTTTTCAGGTCTTGGAGGCCTTTGGATGGAGATTTCTATTGAAAGTTTTTCAAACCTATCAGCTTTCCAATTGCATTAGCGCGTGGGGGGCTTCTCATTTGTTCGATCCGATCTGGTCAAAGCTTAGGAAGCCCGTGCTCAGTTGGACAAAACCAAGTACCGTCCGGTACCATCCCGCTAGAGATCTGCCAAGTGCTCAGTTGAACTCAGGTGGTTTAACGGTTCAACATGCCTGGAGAACTTCTCCTTTTCTTTGGCCAGAGTCAGGGATAAGATGGGATAAGTCTTGTGCATCCTTCCTTTCATGTAACCATGGTGATGATTAACCTGGTGAATCCCACTGGTCTATTTCCGAATATTTCTACACATTTGGAAGTACCATCGAATAAATGCAACCAAGGTCCCCCTACGTCCACCAAATGCAATTTGGGGAAGCAAAGAAAAATGCAGGACCTTTGGACCCTGGATCCGAAAAACGGGTTATTGCATTGCATGTTTTTTGTTAAACAACTTTTCAACACAACCCATCGGTCAACCCTAGGAAATGACATTTTTACATCCATGTACTCCTAGGGTTGCGCTTCCCAAGGACTTGTTTTTACCCACGAGCCTGTTTTTGGCCCATTAGCTTCCTTTTCTAACCCTACAACACACCTTGCTAACCCAGAAACCGTTTCTTCAAACAAGTCTTTCTCGCATTCCTAGCAGTGTTACTTGGTTTTGTTGCGGTGGTTGGTTTTGCTGGCTGCTGGGGGGCGCTGTGCCTTGCCCCCAACCCGCACAATCCTAGGACATGCTATTCCTATTGCCTTCCACAAATCAAATTAATATATATATATATACAATTTTATACATGGAAGACACTTACTGGGATCATGATCTGCTTTCACGTGCTACGTTTTGCTGGCTGGTGAGGTGTTTGTGTGCAAAAAACCTGGGCAAATTTTTGGCCGTTGCACCCTTTTTCAACCCTGGGTTTGGATTGTTTAAATTGATATCTCAACAAAGCAGAAAAGTGTCCTGTTGATTTCCTGGAGTTATATAACTTAAAATTGTTAGATGCTGCTCAATTGTTTTGGTTGATCCCCTTACTTTACCTCCAAATGAAGGGGCTAGCGGCTAGTGACCAATGACTACCTACATAGCCTGTAGCCTGTAGTACTATGGAGGAGGCCACAGAAAAGTGGGCAATTTGCATGATCGTGATGGTGTCCTTGCCTCAGAGTTCGTTGGGATGGGACGTCACCTGACATGCAATCAAAATGCCGTGTACGGGTAGCCAATCGACATCCCTACTGTACAACACCCGACCCTACTACAAGTCTCCTGCCTTTTTCGGGGTCTCAACATGTTATCTACATTTAGGGATGGGTCCTTACCTATAGTTGATCCATTATTACTATGTTTTTGTGTATCGAAGGTGGTGACTGGCCTTGCATCGTTTGGGAGCCACCGATCGATGATATGATTGCGCCACGAGTCACGAGTGCTCACGCAGGCCCATTGTGCCAACAGTGATGAGGCCGGCTCGATCCTGTCGAAGACGGTCTTCGCCACCCACGACGGTGAAACACACGAGATGGCACCCGAGATGAACTCATTCAAATTTCAAAGTTACAAGATGTTATAAGACCTTTTTTTGTAGTGCAAAACCTTTTTCTATTTGTTTCTCCCCTGCCGAGGGGGTTGTGGATGCGGAATGGACATATGGATGTGTCACACGGTCTCGCCCTACCAAGACACAAGAAAACATAGCTGATGTATATGCTGATCCTTTTCTTGAACATGCGCATCCAATGTTTGCAGGTTTGGATCGAAGATGTTCAGATTGGCCCACCTTATTGGATCCTACCCTATTGGATCTAGCACTTGGGCCTTCCAAATCTACTTCAGAACACCTTAAAGCCATAGTCCCCTGCAGCCACTGAGCTCTTTTCATCATCTCCCCCAGCTCAGGCGGCGCCCGCGCCAGAAGGGGTGCTTCCCTCCTCGGCAGCCTTGCCCTTGGTTGACTACCTTGCTTTGGCGCCGGGACCCCAGTGGCGCTGGACCGTGGTTGTTTTATTTTTTCGTGGCAGCAGTATCCACGGTTTTCGTGTCAGCAGCGGTGTTGGTTGGAAACCGTTTGGTTGGATCGGCCTGAGTATATGGAGTTCATGGTTGCCATACGTTCACCTTCCTTGGGGTTGGAATGCAGGAGCATGCAGGAGCATGTGTAGGACTCACATACCTAACAAGCACTTGGAGACGGTCAAGAGGCTCCACGAAGCTAAGCAGAGGAGGACGGACCTCTTCAGAGTCCCTGCGCTTGCGGAGTGGCGGCCCAGGATGATTCTGGCAGCGCCTCCTTCCAAGCCAGAAGAGCTCGGTGGCCCAAGACAAGCAGGGAAGCATGGCCTTGGTGCCATGGCGCTGATAAGCAACCACAAAAAAAACATATATAAGTAGAGCTGGAGCCTTTTCCTTTTGGATTGGCGGTTTCAATGCTTGTTTGAGGTCCAAGACTTATTTCGCATAGTTTCAGGTGAACCGGTCGTTTATAGCGAAGATGATTTGGCAGTCATGGTTTGGGCAGTAACCATGCAGTCATGGTTTGAAGTCTGACAGCTGGAAGAGCATGGAAGAGTACGTTAGTATCCCTCGACCAACCTTCGGGTCGCACCCCCCGAAGTCGTAGCAGCCCAGCCGTGTCGCAGCAGCCCAGCCTTCAGACATTTATTCTTCCCTCGCACTCACTAAAATAGGTAGAAGTGGGTTCAACCCCCTACAAACGAAGATAGTCTTCTCAGAGACCATGTTCCATCATGTTCCACTTCCAAGTGAGTGAGTCTGAAGATGTTATCTGCTAGATGAAGTCATTGGCCAACAACCACTACTCCTAGGCCCTTTTTAGGTTGCTGATCGGACCAAAGGAAGGCAACATGAACCGACCCTGAACAGGTCACTCTCCTGCAAATTTGACAATCCAAGTCTCCAGAAAAACTGCGACGATGTGATCTTGTCAGTCTGACGTCGGTGCGCGGGTTCGGGGTCGTTCCTACATCCACGCGTCGACCTTGTGCTCCCAGGCTTTTGCACTTCAATGAGCGCGCGCCGGAGGTGAGACGATGTTGATGTGCATGTGGCGTAGGGTCAAAGGAACACAGAAGCCTACTGCAGCAGTGGTTTGTGCCAGGATGTGCCAGGTTCTCCCAAGGGGTGTTTGTCATGGCCTGGCAGGGCCATAGGGCAACATATGAATAAATCCGTTGTACATATTTCTTGGTGAGGACTTGCTCACACCCAGGACCCAGGAGTGTAAAAGATCACGCGTTTACCAGCTGGTAACGAAACATGAAGACACAATAGACGACCAGTAATAGGATTGACGTTCCAACACGTGTCCTATGCTCAATATTTGCGGTCATTTTGTTTCACCAACAGCACAAGAGTCTGAGTCAGTGCCGTCAATTACGAGAAAACGAAAGCTGAGAGGTTCGGAAGCTCCTGGCCTTTTCCTGGCAACTTCGGGACTTTGCGCCTGGGCGACCCGGATGACTCAGATCTCTAGCCAGCGCTGGGCGCTGGTCACCGAGACGGCCTTGGCTTTCCTTGGCTTGAGGATATCATAACAAGCAAGGAATTTGCACACAACTCCTGAAAACGTCCTATATATACATATTGCAACAAGCATGCAATCAACGGAGAGCATTTCTTACAGCTTATGATAGCTTATGACTGGTGTTCATTTGGGTATATGAGCGGGTCATGCCATTGAAGATGGTATAGAAGCATGTCGAAGCTAGTGCCAAGATCTTACAGGTTTTGTTAGAATGTCGTTTGTTCGTTCAGGGCTCATGGTCGAGTTTGGAGGGATTGACATGTGCATCATCAACTCGGCCCCCAGTCGTGGTGAGCGTCGGCAACATAGCATTCCGAGCGGTCGACCCTAAGAAGCGGCATTGCGATCCGTCCACTGCAGCTCCACGAGTACACTCCAATATCGGACTACGCGCAGTGAAACAAAATGGTCGATTGTTAATAGACCATTTTCCACCGGGGGCTCCTGGCCGTACTATTATAGGAGCAAGGACGCTACTAGGTCAGACGTTGTAGGCCCATCCACGGTGCACCCCTCAAAGCCCTTTCCATGCGCCAGTGTGCCGGAGGAACTCCATGCCTAGACCATCTGGGATGCGTCGGCCGGGAGGCAGGTCTGTCCGTTGACGCGTTGCAACGGCGACAGGCATCGAATCCGGTGATGTCCACGTTCTGCACCCAACCGTCCTGTTGTAGACCTGAAAGCCTGTCGTAGTGTTCACAATTCGCACCGGAGACCCTGTTCGCCAGCCAGGGAGATGAACACCTGTTTAATTTGTCAAAATGGTTTGCAACACTTACCGGTGACTTTTCTGATTGCTCCGTTGGTGTTCTCCAAGGGGCCCCAAGGGGTTGGTCAATCGCATGGTTTTTTTCCTGCGCTGGAAGTGGGGTTTCAGAGAGCAAGAATGGGACGATTTGGTGCATTTTCTGGTTTGCGGCATTTATATGAGGAGGCTTAGGGTTAATCTGCTTAAGCTATGACAAACCTTATGAAGCAACCAGCCGGCCAAACAACAGGTCTCAGTTCGTGAACTGGCCCTTGAGTTGTCGTTGCCCCAGGAATCAGTTCCCAAAATCCAAGACTGGTTGAGGCTGAGGCCCTCGAGGTGCATCCACCCCCACCCGCAGCCAGGCCGTCCGTTCCCACAGCCGCCGGCTGCCTGCTATCCCAAGATAGGCGGGCGCATTGGAGATGAAGACTTGGACTTGGCATCCACCTAGTTGGAAGACTTACTTCGACTTCTCATTGAACAGAAAAACGTGGTCTTCTTTATGCTTCCTGAGAGGTGGGAGGGCGGACTCTGCAAATAAACGCTCGTTCTGGAAAAGTCATGCATCACAGAATTGATCGTTTTGCATGTTCAACTTTGGGCGTTCTCGATTCTTGAACAGAGCTCTTCTTTGGCTTCGTTGGGCCGTTCGGACACCACGGGGCTCTTTGAGGCTTCAATTGCCTATATAGTAGTTCTGACACCACTTGGTGTTGGTCTCATCCGAACGCCCAGCACCACGTGATTCGATTCGAAAACGAGTCTATAGATGCTAAGAAAGCAGGTGCACGGGTTTCTGGGCAGCCAATGACGAAGTAGAAGATGGATACCGATGTAAGACCCTTTCTATTCCAACAACCGCTGTAAGGGTGTGTATTAACATAGGGATACCTCCCAGTTCGACCCGCTGGAAGAAGGGCAATAGACCAAAACCATCCAAAACCCATTGGTGGTGAGTCTCCCTCTTAAAGTGCACCTGAAGAAAACACATGAAAAACCATGTTGGCGCCTGGAGTCCACTCCTTACCTTAGTCACTGGCCACCCTGCAGACCCCAAAATCCAGTCTCCGGCCAGTTTTCTTCGGCATTTCACGGGAAGACCATGCCTAAGACATCCTTTTTTGGTGGTCCCCAAAGAGTATTCCTTGCACGGTTTCCAATACATGTTTAGTGGGGATTTACTTTTGCTATCTATTTGAGGGGTCTATATAATATATAAGACCTAAGAAAGATCAACGACAGGTGGGGACCTCACAGGACCTCACAGGTGTTTACATTTAGTCGGGTGTACGGACACAACAGACCGCCGGGGCCCTACAGCCATCTACAGCCCTGCATGCTGTCCCACATGCTGCCCCAAGTCCGAGGCAAAAGGAGTCCACAAGGCCCCTCAAATTCGTGGATGCTTCCTCTACACTCTCTCTCCGGGATCCGGTGATCAACTTGAGAACCCCAAGCTGAGCACACCCGCCCCGAACTGCGATCCAGATCTTCCAAGCTGGAGAGGGCCACAAGCTGGCTGACCAGGCACCTCCAGCTTCGACCCCTCGTGCCAGGTGTACAGAAACCTGCTCATAGTGAAAAGGACTGCAGCAGCTTTTGAATTTCCCTCGGTGGTTGGACTGCCCCTTCACATCACCCTTCACAATAAGCGACCGCCCACGGACCTAACAGGCGCTGCATTTTGGCCGGCTTGGAAAGTGTTCCAAAGAGTTAAGTTTATTCTGGTGTGCTTGCGCGGTCATGTGGGGGGCTCATGTGAGAAGGGGTGTTTGTAGGTCATCCCTAAGTGCGCTTAGGTCGAGACATTGGAGTTGCTTTCATCATAGCTGTGCGGCAAGTGGGGCCTGGACAAACTGAGTCCTCTTCCACCAAAGACATGCAGAACAAGACCATTCCCGCACCAAGCGGGCGACTCCATGGGCCACGAGCGAGGTGCCGCGTGCGAAGCACGAAGCGTGCGGTACCGGCGAGATCTTCGGCGATCGGCTTCGCGAGGATCACCGCTACAGCATGGGCGACTCCATGGGCGGCGAAGTCTTAGGTCACGCCTTAGGCCGTGCCAATGCATGTGCCGATGCATGTGCTGATGCGTGTGCAATTGGGAAGGGAAGGGATAGAATGAATGCGATGGATCCAATTAATTGGTTTCATTGAAGGATCCAAGGCGCTTTGGAGTTGGGCAATGAGAGGTACTTCCATCTCAACGCCTTGTGAGGTGGACAACTTGGATAACTTGGGTCAGTGGCCAGCATTGGACATGTGGGAGTGGGCCTCCGGATTCATTTTTGGAGTGTATGGATCTCAAGTGCATGGAGCTAAGGGCAAGTCCCCCACCCTCAAAGCCGCTCAAGGCGCCACAAAAGCCGCTTGTGCAAGTCGCCACACAGCGGTCAGGCTGGGCGGCCTCGCGGCTGTCCGGGGCCATCGGAGGCGTGCTGAGCGCCGAGAAGTCACCACCCAGGCCGGGCTGAGCGCCGAGGGGTGGAGAGGTCGAATCCTTCGGTGGCGATGGAGTGGAGAGGAGAACACATGAGATTTGTTTGTCAAGATAGGCCGGTAGCCCCACCATGGTGACCTCGGGTCAGACCTGTTGATTTCAAGATGATCCGGATATGGTGACAGCATCAGTGTGAAACAATGTGTTTAGCACCCCTGGACCAATGGAAACCCAAGCATCAACCTCCAACAAACATCCTGGTTGCTCCCACAAGTTGGTTGTAGCCTAGAGCATCTCCAGATATCTCTAAAATGTTCTTATATGGGTTGGCAGTTGGTGGGAAACTCTTACGTAGTAGTATAATACAGTGTGTAATTTTTAGTGTGTTTTCTTCTCAGGCCTCTTTTGGGAGGGCCCCTAAAATTCCCAATGTCCGTATGAGGTGTGATCGTAAGTGGAGCTCCTGGATTGATGTCCCGCTGATTTGCATGTCAGTGCTCAAACATTGTAGAACGATAGGCGGGCTCACCAAATCGGTTACCGAGAACAGGCATAAGTTGGGCTTGCCCTATTACCTGTAACAGTCCGTAAACAATTATCATAATTTTTGTAACGAGGCCTTTACTAACCATCATCATCCATTGTTACTGGTAATGGGATAGACCCAATTGCATATGCAATCAATTTTGACCGTGGCTCATATCTTGGGGGACTGGCCGAATGAAACTCATCTTGCAAGGACCAAAGAGATCCAAGCAGAGCCCGCGGAGCCTCGACGGCTGGGGACCTGAGCGTAAGAAGCAGCCCACTGAGCTGCAGTGTTGACAGCTTTTTCGAATCTTTCGGCATGCGGTGTTTTTCTGTTTGTTTCAGCATGCGTTTCCGAGCCAAGTTCAAAGCCTAGCGTTTATTTAAACATATAAAGTGTTATGTGTACTTTATGTTTTATTCAGAATGTTGATCATCCACAATGGGAACATGTTTTGATTTAGAGTTCACCCCTGGAGTTCCCACATTCAAGGACGTGAATCGCACATGTTTTGCGTCCAAGAACATGGGACCTTCAGAAGAAATCCCTCAGCTAGAAACGCCCTCAAGAAGAACTGAGCTTTGAGTGAGGTTGCACACTTCGTGTATAGATGACACGTCATGTATAGTTGATGTCTAGGAGCACTTATCCAAGACTGGAATTGTCATGTAAAGACTTGCATCATCGGTAATCGGCTTTGCCGTTTGCACTGTGTCACTGGACGCCAACCTGATTTGGCTCAAGACTGGAAAAACTAAGGTTCGTTGCCTGCCATCGAAACGTCGCATCGACGGGTTGACGGGTTGATTGAACGTTGTGTTGAACTTCCAGGGAAGAGCAACTTATCTCCTTCGTGGTTTCCGGGACGTAAAAATTAGATCTCGCTATGGGAACTGAATGGAATTTGATTCCCTTTGATTTCTGACGCGCATGGCCCATAACTCGCAAGCGGCGACCGTTGGAACCGTCGACCGAGGAACGGTCGACGCTCGAGCGACCCCTTGCCCGCTCCGCCCACGCCTGACGTGGCACCCAAGAGGTGCCCAACGGTGCCAACGCGCGCGGAGTGCGTGGAATGGACAGGTTTTGTTAGACTCCCAGACCATGAAATAGAACGGTACAGTAATTCGAGTGTAAATCGGAATGTACAAACATGTTAAAGTTTGTTTTTGTTTGGGCCTGCTTCGTCCAAGACTCGTCCATTTCGCCTGGATGGTCCCCAATCACGGGCAGTTCTCTTGCCAAATGCGGGCAGACTCACCAACACTGAAGTGGGAGATGCAAGCACCCTGAGGAAAACAGTCCAGTTTGGCCAGGGCAGTTAGCATTCGAACACTACACACTTGGGGCCTTGGCATCGCAGGAAGTACAGCTTTCCAGCCGAGAAGGAGTCGCCGTTGCTGTCAGGAATGCAGCGGAGCGTGTTGCAGGATTGGTTCATTGATTGGTTGGATTGGTTCATTGATTGGTTCATTGGTTCATTTGTTGCAGGATTGGTTGGTTGAGATTCAGTGCTTTGGGAATATTTGGTCGTAGAACACGCCGGAACTTGGAATCAGCGCACACTGGCAAAAGCGTCCAGCAAGAGAAGAGACTCATTGCAGTTCAGCAACAACAGCACGTATTGTAGTACGATGTAGTACACATACATCAGAAAAGAATACGCGTATAATACCAACCAAATACCAACATGAACCTCATGCACCATCCTTTTTGAGTCTACACCGGTCCCCTTGATCCCACCGCTTTCTCAGGTCTTACACCGAGCCCACCGAGCCCAAGGGTGCAGGTCGGGTGTCAATGCAAGATGTCGTGAAATCGTCGTCAGATGTCACTTGCGAGCTTACACCACCAAACAGTCATGTTGAGGTTGAGCCCTTATAGGGCTCCAACCATATCCTCAGAAGGTGGTTGGACCCCTGGTGCCCACCCCAACCATCATCTCAGGAGGTAGTTAGAGCTCTAGGGAAGAGTCAAACTGGAGGGGTTTTCAGAGAAACTTGCGTTCCACATTTTTTTGCGTCATGGTCGTGTTTTTCGCTGCGCGTGTCTTCCACAAAAGGCGAATTTGCCACTTACCGCATTGTACAGTGATACTTGGGGACATGTCAGACTTCAGCATCGAGACTCGTGTAGTGGTCCAGGACAACACTTTGATGCCTACAAGGCTTACTAAATACATGGGTTCATGCCCCACTCCCAAAACTGCAGGTTTTGGTGTTCAAAAAGGAGCCACTGAGTCCGCGTCACTCGAATCCTTCACATGAAGACTACAAGCTCCTCCAGCAAGACAGCCCTAATCAATCCTAATTATCCTAATTTCCAGCAAATCAAATTTTGCGATGCTTTTTGGGTCTTAAGGAACTTCATGCACCATCTCCGCCAGGCTGGGGCCAGAGGGAAAACGGGACTCATTCCTTTTCGGTTCGCGCCAGGCGAGCCGTTCTTTCGCGAGGCGAGGGTTCCGGGTTGGAACCACGCGGGTGGAAGAACGTGCTCATACACTACAACTGTCCCCAGGTTGGGCATGATACCGAATCCAACACCTGCAGGTTGGCAGCATATTGAACATTGGACGTTTGACTCGGTATAGGTCTTCTTGGCAGGCGGGTGGGTTCATTCCAGACCGATGCTTTGCACTACAATTGGTGGAACGCACCGTGTTTTTTCACTGCGAAGAATGTTATGGATTGATATCGGTTTCTAATTTAGAGCTTATGATATTGGGTCAGTGCCCTGAGGTAGCACTTTGGTTTAATGTCAGTGTGCCTTTCGGAATTGGAAACTATGCCGTACATGGATTTACCTCATCATATCCCACCATGTGAAATTTTGATACAAAGAAACGGGGGCATTGGGGGAAGCTATGGATCTACTGTAGATGTCTCTAGGCAACCCGCGCTCTTCTGTCACATGGGGCTAAATCACCACTCGCCACAGCCTGTACTCTGAGTTTTGGTTGTTTTTGCACTGCTTGCAATTTGCCCGCCCACCTATGTAGCCAAGGCTTTTGATTAGCACATGAGGGGAGATGTTTGCATGGCATGTTTAGGTGTAGGGTTCCGCTGCATTGTCCGAAACCCATTGACTTCTCCAAAAGCTTGCTGTTCTGCGTTTGGTGGGATATTTCCAGAACTCACCCCATCGTGCCAAGCGATTCGACTAAAGACCTGACCAAAGATAATATGTAGGAACCAGACTCACTTATATACCCCTTGCTTCCATAGGTGGGTGCAACGGTTGTGCCATGCTGGCTCGTAGGATAAAAGGCATTGACAGGTATAGTTGGCCCATGTTGGCTCTTCTATGCAAACCACTGCATGTTGGATCAAACTTGGATCACAACAAAGCGACCTTGTCTATTTTCGCTGTGCCCTGCGACACCCAAGCAAAACCGCACTCAAAATCTATCTCGTCTATAGGATATGTGAAACATGAAGCATGCTATTTTTTGGGAAACCTTCATTGCAAGGACTTTGCCCGGGTTGCCGCTCGTGGCGGCCTGATGCTGCCTGAGCCATGGGGATTTGTTGTTCCCGCGTGTAATACAGCACGCCGCAAGTTCAGCTTTTGGTTGGTTCTGAAAGTTGCAGCCATACAAATTTCCCCGAAGGTTACCCACAATACTATACATGTAGAATATATATATATATAATATTATTGTAAGATATATATATATATGTTGTTTGAAGCTCCATACTTTCCAGATATCCAAGGACACACCCTCCCAGAGACGAAGGACCGGGCGTCCGAAACAATAAAACGTGTCGAGCGGGCTGGTTGGTACCCAGAGCCCCGGCACCGCCGTCGTTCGCAGGCCGCTCCTCCGGCCGTTTCAGCCGCCCTCCGGCCGCCGTGCGCGCCAATAGCAGCGCACCGAAAGTTGGGGAACCCATGAAGGCTTTGATTCCCTGTTCCCTCCTTGCAGAAGACGCTTGCCTTTGATGATGGTAGTCTGTGGATGGAGCTGGTGAAAGAGTCTTGCTGTCGTTGCTCCCCTTGGAATTGGGTTTCTTGCCTAGCTGAAGCCCGCAAGCTTCAACACTTGTGGCGCCTTGGAACAGAATGCGTTCCTGTCGCGTCCCAACAAAAGGTTCCACCCAACCTGCCAACCAGGCTGGTAAAGAAGTTGTATTGAAAAGGCAGTTGGTTCTTTGTTCCTCCAGATGGTTTGACACTAATAGAAAGAAACAGCAAGCTGGATGTGGTTTCAGGCCTCGCGAGCGTGGCAACTCCGATGAGACGGATGTGAGGCTAGAGGGGTTGGTCAAGCAATGCGGATATTGGCAAAAGAAAGAATTTGGGGAGTTTCACGGGGCTGGCATGTTGTGGAGTTGTGGATGTTCACAAGCAGATTTGTGAAGCCTGAATGAATCATGCCCATTCTTGGCACCGTTTTGAATCACACCTTCCTTGTGGCCTGGCAGCCGGCCCGCTGGCCAGCGACATCGTCCAGATGTTTGGGTGTGCTTCGTCCGTGTTCATCGCTGAGTACACGACGATAAGCCCTTCTTGGAACGATGTGCCAGCTGTAAGCGGCCATTGGCACTGGTTCAAATGGGAAGCAGAATCTTCATGAATCTTCTCTATCAAGTTTTCTGGCGAATTGAAAGAAATGAAGCTTTGCCAAGCAGACTGTGTGTGTGTTTTTCATGTTTTTGCCTTGGAGTGGAGGTGCTTGCGTGAAGTTTCCACCTTCCATTTTCCTCGGTGCCCGGATTCATCACGCAGAGAAAGACGATTATTACAGTGTCTATTTCCCGCCCCCTCTAAGGTCTATGGCGCGGTGTCATTTTCATTTGCATAGACATTCATGGAAATCCAGAGTCCATACCCGAATGGCAATCGATAAAGGAGAAAGATTGGAGACATGTGGAATGAAACATGTTGCCCATCATAAAGGCTCCCTGATGCATAAACCGGCCAGACCAATCCCTCCAAAACAAACCCCTCACACTGACAACAGCACAGCTTTTAACATCTCATGTGGTTTCCAAACCTTGACTCACTGTGTCCCCAAGGGTTTCCCTTAGACGAATCTTCCCTAAGCAGTATGTTCTGTTTGGCCTAAGAGACATGTGAGTGTATGTAAGACCTTTTGTTGGAGTGCTGCTTTCGTTTGTTCTGCTGCTTAACATGGCAGACTTGTGGAACAGTAGACCGGGCAGCTTTTGTAGTTGGATTTCAAGTTAAGCAAGGTTTAGAGTGCCCATGACGGATTTGAACACGATTGTATGCGGAAATGCCCTGCCTTAGCTGGCTTAGTAATACAAAATATACAATAATGCTGAGGGCTTCACAAGAGTGCTTGACCTCCAAAGGCCTGAAGAAGTGCTGCAGTGCTACATAGCTTTCCTGACAAGCCTTCAACATATCCAGGCAACCACTTCTTCAAATCTTGCAACAGCCCCTTGCGCAAATTCATACCTCCCCAGTCGTCATGAATTCCGCTCACCCTTCCCGAACCAAAGAAACAGAATCCACTAGTCTCAAAAGATACAGCATTTAAAAAAAACACATTTGCCACAGCATTGCCAAACATAAAGAAACAGCGTTTCCCCCGGGTTTCGGAGGCTGCTTCAGTTTCACCACTGGAGCCGACCGCGCACCCGACCTCCGCCACAGCTTCTGGCCACTCTCGCCGGCGCTCTCGGAGATCTCGCAGACCAGCTTGTCGCAGCCCAGGTGAAACGTCGTCGCGTGGGGAGTGACAGTGAGAGCGGGGTGAAATCGGTGGCCTCGTGGCCTAAATCCGTGCAAATCGGTGGAATGACTAGTTGCAAGAGAACGCTACTTGGAACAAAGGGCATCGCTACTAAGAGCAAGGACGCGACTAGTAGCTCCTGGCCATACTACTAGTAGCAAGAATGCTACTAGGAACAAAGGGCAGTGTGTGTGTGTGTGTGTCGACCTTTATCTTTCTTCTTTGCAGCTGAGATTGCAAGTGACCAATGTGGGTTTTGCTGGGGTTTTCTTGGTTGCGCGGGATTTGTCGAAAATGTGGACGAGTGTTTGGAGCTTCCATAGAGCAATAAGAAGTGGGCAGGTTGGCATAGACTCAATGGTTTTGCCGCAAGGCATCGCAAAGCAATAGAACACGTTGTGTAAGAGTTGCCCTGTAAATGAACAGCCGGACCAAAAGTATAACCACTGACAACGCCTTGATCTCAAGCTGCGCATGCTGCGCCAGGTTTAAGGGCTTGTTTAGTGCCAGCCCTTTGCCCGTAAAGCTGACAAGTTTTGCAGTCTCACGTGATCGATGTGGGTCAAATTCAATTGACTTCGAAGTCATGAAGATTTGTCGAGTTTAATTGAATGCTTCATGGAGGTGGGATGCACGGACTGAAGGTTTTGTTCCGTGCCAGAACTGAAGCCGTAAGCAGGGGGCAATTCATTCTCAAGAGATCCATGTCAGGTGACATATGCTGACGGGGTCAGAAACCGTCCCAAGCACCCAACACTGGTGGGTGCCCCCAAGTAACCCATGTAGCATAGAGGAATCCAGGAAGTCTTCATTTTCCCAAACTTTCCCCTTGCCCGGAAGTGGGTTGCATTGTCCCGTTGTGGATAGTAAAATTGTAAAAAGCGTTGCTAGCACGACTCCTGCACCGGCACCGAAAAAGAGGAGCACGACATCTACAGTGGTTTTAGAGTAGATGGCACGATCCCCAAGTTTGGTGGATTTTATAGACCCTCATTGAAAACATCTTTGGGTTTGTGCCATTTGCGAAGATCTTTGACGCTATAAATATTACATTTGTCAGGTGGACAGATCCGATCGACTCATGGCTTGCCAGGCTGGTGTCCGAGCGCCAAGGCCTCGGAGAAAGACTTAGACTGTGGCTTTGAGCGGAGCGTGTGCAGACTCAGACACTGGGAGGTGGGCCCCTTTCTTCGGGATGCAGGATAGAACATCCGAAGGCTCTGCGTTGTTCATCCGCTTCGGGCGCGGCACGGAATTGGTCGCTTGAGGCCACCCGTGCGACAGGCAGCTGGGGATGCTGGGAATTCGGGGCCAAGCTGGGAGGCTGCTGGTGAACCGGCAGATTTGCCAGTGATGATGCACTTGAGAAGCCCAAGGTTTAAAGGCCAGGGAGGAAGTGCCGAGCGGAATTTTGGACGTCTTAGGCACCGGACCGGGCCAAGTTCGAGTGGCTGTAGAGGAACTTGAACCCCTAGGGGTCCACACATGCGACTCCTTCAATCATGGGAACAACATGGAACAAACACATAGATTCTAGATTGAGTCTTGAGGGGCTTTGCTCCTAACTTGCCCTAATTTGATCATATAATATATAATATAGTAATGTATCCACATGCATAAACACATGCACAACCACTAATCACTATACTTGTTTGATTTGTTGGTTCATTCAACAGCTTCAAGCTATTCATGCCTCATGGTGAACAAACCATTCTCCTTGGAGGACGTCTTCACCGAGGGAAGAGGCTCTCAGGTACGCGGTCCACCTCACGGGGTTGGGCGATCCGGGCAGGCCGAACTGGGGAAGAAACAAATACACTAGAATATAAAATTAGCTAGAATTGATCATGTTAATGCAATTCGCCATGGTGCCAGGGGCATGCTTCCACCTTTGGAATTGAATGATCAGGGATGTTGAACACCAATTCAATCTAAGTTTCAGTGGGCGCTGGATTAAATCTTCAACACTCCCACGGCGTCATGAAAGTTTCTTTTCCACCCCGCCTCAGGAGTTCATTTTGCAGGGTCGCTTGCGGTTTTCCGGATCGTATGGCGGAGCCATCAATCCCCTTCCCTCGCCATCACTTGCATTCGCCTTCACCTCAGGTACCAGACTCACCGCAGCCCGGGAACTTGGCGGGTCAAACAAATCAAACACGCCGGGTGCGGTACTTAGGCATCAGATGAGTTGGTTGAATGGATGGTGCCCACTGGTCGGGGTAAGACTAGCAATTCGGACACCGGAACCACGTCCCAGCCGGAAAATGCACATCTCCCTTCCCCAGGAACACCCCCGAGCCCTTAGAGCTGGCCATGCTCGCACTGGAAGCAAGCTTCGATGGGTTCAGAAAGCCGGCGCTTAGGCTTTTGTGGGATTTCGGATTTGCGTGTCAGCTTCAAAGGCGGAGGGGTGACTTCGATTTCTTTACTGTATTGTTAACAGTTGTTTGGGCCATTAACTTGCAAAAAAGCACGCAACAAACGGGTGTGTGCCTTAAGATGGTGGAACTCCCCGCCATCTCATGCTCAGTGTTTTCAATCCAACCCGGCAATCCGCTTCTGCATTCAGCCGTAGCATTGATGGAGAACATGTATCCTCTACTGCCTCTTCAAAGGGCGGAAGATTCCTCAGGCAGGGAACCTCCCACTTGTTTTAGTGCGATATTGTGTGTGTCACAGGGGGGTCAGAATTGATTTGTTTGGCACCTTTGCCACCTGGTCGAAGCTGCATGTTTTTTTCTAAGGATCCGAGGCTTGTTGCCCTTCCCCAGAGTGCCGCTAGGCTTTACACTAGTGCAGCGTCGCCACAAGTTGGAGGCAGAGATTTTTGTTTTTGTTTTTTTGCATGTTTTTGCTTTGCTATATGTGTATTTTTGGGTGCCTGTTTGGTCATGCATGATCTTGTCATATCTTGTCCATCTGTCCATCAAGAGCTAGAGTTGATCCCCATCATACTATACTGCCAGGAGCCACACAGGCCTGACATGCTGGATTTTTGATTTACCTCAGGCTGCCGGTCTGCGGTCTGCCACCGGGGCAGGTGGAGCTTTGCCATGCTTGGCCTAGGTAGGGGTGAACGGGCCCCGTTCACCCTGCCTCTGTGCTATGAAAACGAATTTAGCGAAGGTGTGCTTTGGTTTTGATCTTCAGCACTGTAGGGTTCCAATGCGCTAAGTGCATGACAAGGGCTCACTATCTTTGTGTAATCCGGTCCACCTATTAAAAGACACGGGCCCCCCCACTCCCCCCACCCCCTAATAAGGAACCTCGGTCGCACTTTTTTAAATAGGGGGGTCAAAAATAGGGTCACCTGGGAAGAGCTTCAAAACCAAAAAGTAACCCACTAAAATTTTATATAAAGTAGTTTACTAAACTCGTATCAAAAATTCAAAAAAAACACCAGATCCGAAGGGTCTTCCTTTTCCCCTACAAAACCTTTATTAGAATAGGGATTCTTCAGTAGACTAACAGCTAAAGTTTTCGAAAGGTGATGCCATGCGGTTTTGCATGACCTCGGTGGCAAGTGCGTTTGCGTGAGTCCGTGCCATTGGGGGAAGGAAAGCCTGCTGGTGTAAGTGCAGCGTGTCATGGTGGATAGACAGGGCGGACAGAGGTGGGCAGTTACGGTTGTTTTTGGAACCTAATTTTAAAATATCCTCCAAAATCGGCAATGTTGGTAGTTCAGTAGCGGCTTGAAAGGGCGGTATTTAAACGAATATAAATCGTATTAAGGGGGTTTCCGACATGACTTTTTTTGAGTAAGGGTCCATTTTTTAAAATGGGCACTCGGCATATATATATACATATATTGACATATAGATATAAGTATATATATGCAGAGAGAGAGGGAGTCGTAGCCGTTTGTTTCCCAAATGCATGAAGACTAATGACAAGGCTTCATGGCTCCATTGGCGCATTTGTTCTGCCAAGATCCAACGGTGCCACGCATTCGCGCCGGGGCATCTGCCTGGCACGAATGCGTGGCAGGCTTAGGCAGTGCTGACCCCTTAGGGGTCCCAAGGTACTTCTGCATTTGTTAGACCTTCCAGGGCTCCTTTGAGCATCCCTTGTTAGTTGATCCCCCCTTGTGCTGACATTTTGACTTGCATGTGTCAACCCCAGGATGTACATTTAATTTTGTGAGCTGAGACGCCTCCGAGATGAGTGGATATGTTTCGGTGAGCACTTGCTTTGATTTTGCAAGTGCGGTGAGTCATGAGTAGACGCAGTCTTCCCAGTTGAGTTGTGAGAATCTAAAGTTGTCGGACCCGGTGTTGTGCCAGCGTATTCTCGAGGCTCTAAATCTTCAAGTCAACATTGATGCTACCACCATGGAGTTTGCATGAATTTGCCCTTGGAAAGATTGTTCTAGAGTGCGCGGAAAAGAACATTGGGTTCAATCGATTCAACGTTCAAACTGTCCTTTCTTGAAGGATCGATCGATTCCTTCATAAAAGCTCATCCTTCATAAAGGCTCATCCTTCATGGGCATCCGTTTCTCAAAACAACAAGCATTTCCTCAAGTATCCAACATGGTTTCGATCATCCAGTGACGGAATGCTGCGTACAAGGTTTGTGTGCCACAAGTATCAAAACATGTTCACCGATTAACATGGAACCTGAGAATGGACCTGACTGAAAGACAATTTTCCTCTACAACCCGACGGTTTTCAGGTTCCAAGCTAACTTTCCAGGGTGTATCCACATACTGTAGTAGCAAGAAACTACTAGGTGGAGGCCATCGCTAATGGGTTGGAGGCCATCGCTACTAGTAAAACATGTAAAAAGAAGCTACTAGTAGCAAACTCCAAATTTGAGGCACATGACACAGGTAGTGACTCACACCCCACTGGGATGAAAGGCCTCGATGACTGGATCGAGAGCACTATCGTGTTAAGAACGTTTGCATCTTCTCGGCAAATTCGACATCGTACCCTTCGGGCCCTTCGAGCATGGAACTGGCTTTTGTCCTTTGAAACTGCATACATTAGATAGTGTGTGTAAGATCTCCCTCCTTGTATATGCTGCAAATGTGAGTCTTTTTTGTAAGCCTTTTTTCATTCAATCCGATTAAAGCCCTTCTACCTTCCCTGTCCACATGTTTCCTTGCCCAAACCTCCTTTGTGAAAAAGCTTAGCGTTCGCAGTGATTTTGCACCAAGGCTTCCAATCTCGCATATGCTCGAATCGTTCAGATCTATATACTCCGTGGAGTATGCAGAATTTCTGCCTATGATTAGTTCTCCCAGATATTACATGCAAAAAGTTTGAGCACATGCACGGATCCTGCGTTTGCCGTCCAAACATTCAAGCCTTTGCATACCTTTTGCAGTGATTGGACGGCTAGGTTTCTCAAAGTGTAAGGGAGTTGTTGACTTGGCTGCCTTTGTTTTGGTTGTTTTGAGAATTTGGGGTTGGGATGGGTTGGGATTGTATACCGTATGCCTGTGTTTTCACAAACCAATTACAGTAAACGTATAGATGTTACATCCCAAGCGAAATTGAAAGGCCCCTGAAAAGCTTATCAACATTATGCTTGAAGTAATGTTCAGCACATGCTACTTGGTAAAATGTTACATGGTGGGTGCCGCAGTGCCGCATGAAACGGCTTTGTTTAAATACTTTCTGTAGCTTTCTCCAGATGACTTTCCTTTGCCTCGGTGTCTCTCCGAGGCACGTCCCACCGGGCCAACCCTTTTGGGCCCCACTGGAGCCGGAGGCAGATCTTGCATCGGAAGGAGTTCCAAAAGGCTGATCTAAAGGTACACACGCGCAGACGGACAACATAGAAGGTCAAAACCTCCCTGTGATTTTGTTGCGATGCGATTGGGACTCCAACCAACCTTCGAACTCTTCAACGGTGAAAAAGCATGTATGTTAATAGATTAAATGTAGCATGGGTGAACATTAACATTGAGGGATGGAGTTTGCTCAGCTAAAGGGAGGAGCGACTTGGTTCAACTGTGCACCACCTGGTCCTTTTTGCAATTATCGGGCTCAGGCTTTGCAGGCACAGAGAGTTTACTTTTGTCGGAACATGGCCTGGAAGATATTTGGATACTAGCATTTGGGATCAGCCCCATGCAAAAGAACAAAGGATCTCAAATTGTTTGAACATTCAAATTGGACACTTGAAGGGCCGATCGCTATGATTGTTGTTATTCTATGAGCCAACCTGAGACATGCTTAGTGACATGACCTGGCCCCTGTGTTCACTCACTACAATGGCCAGACAAAAGTTGCGTCTTGAAATTCAATCTCAACCCATACCCCCGGAACCTATATCCTACACTGGGAGACCTGGGGACCGTCCCACACGGTGAATCCGACCAAAATGGGACTTGTTTTAAAACGACCCGCAGCTGACGGTGAACAGCATAACTGTTGCTTGCCTGAATGTATCCTGAATGTATAGGCGGCATTCTTGTCTTTCCCAGTTCACTTGGCGATGTTGCACGGATCCGGGAAGAGCCAGGGAACATGGGTCATTTTCCAAGCCCATTGAAGAGCTGCTAGAGGGCGCTTGCGCCCGCCCTTCATGGCCGTTCGTTTGAGGTAGCGGGACCGGAGAACACCGAAGACCCGCAGCTTGGCAGAGACCGGAGATGGTGGCATACGGTGTGACAGGAGAAGGACGATGACATGCAACATGCACATTACATGCGCCTTCATGTCATGGAGCCGGTGAATCTTTGGGTGACAGCTGGTGAAAGCCCCTGAAAGATGATGTTGCAAGGTGTGTAAGGTTCGTGTGGTGTCGTTGTAAGGTGTGTGCCAGTGTTTCAGCAAGAGTCTTGCTCCTTGAATTGATTCTTCGCCGTGGCATTTGCGTTGGGGTCTAGGCAGATCGACCCTGGCTGCACCACGGCTTTTGCAAGGGATTCTTCATTATTGGTTTATCCTTTATGGGATCTTGACTCATCAGCGGCTATTCACTGATCTATATAACTAAGCTTCTTTCAAAGTGAGACCTACCTCCTGCAGAAATCGTGCGAGCAGCGCCAAGAACCCCCATGCACAGGAGTTCTTTTGTGTCTGTATATTAACACCACTCATTTCCAACTGTTTACCTTGCAAGGTCGCTGGTTTTGTAACCGCTGATTGTTTACAAGCTGAGGTTATAGCTGGCTGATTCACAGAAACATGTCGACACTGTGGGACCTGGGAGCTCTTCAAATACCATGAAACCATGTTCAGCCATATTCATCCGTTCTCACTCATGAACATATTAATCCCAGAGAAAGCGTTGGATCTCACCTCGCCTAGAACCTTTGGCCTCGGCCGTCCCCGAGGCAACCCAGCGAGCCAAGTGCCGAGGGGGTCATGAAGGCCGCTTTTGCCGAGCCGTGCGGGCCACGGTCGACGACGCGGCAGACGTGTTACAGCATGTTACGGCTACCATATGGGGGGTAGTAGACATAAATCTGAACTCCAGTATAGATGAAGAAGCGTCCTTGCTCCTAGTAGCGATGCCCTTTGCTCCTAGTAGCTTCTTGCTACTAGTAGTAATGCCCTTGTTACTGGTAGCTTCTTACTCCTAGTACTAAGGCCAGGAGCCCCTAGTAGCGTCCTTGCTCCTAGTAGCGATGCCCTTTGCTCCTAGTAGCTTCTTGCTACTAGTAGTAATGCCCTTGCTACTAGTAACTTCTTGCTCCTAGTAGTAAGGCCAGGAGCCCCTAGTAGCGTCCTTGCTCCTACTAGCGATGCCCTTTGCTCCTAGTCGCTTCTTGCTACTAGTAGTAATGCCCTTGTTACTAGTAGCTTCTTGCTCCTAGTAGTAAGGCCAGGAGCCCCTAGTAGCGTCCTTGCTCCTAGTAGCGATGCCCTTTCCTCCTAGTAGCTTCTTGCTACTAGTAGTAACGCCCTTGTTACTAGTAACTTCTTGCTCCTAGTAGTAAGGCCAGGAGCCCCTAGTAGCGTCCTTGCTCCTAGTAGCGATGCCCTTTGCTCCTAGTAGCTTCTTGCTACTACTAGTATTGCCCTTGTTACTAATGTAGAATTCCAACAGCTTACCAATCCCAGTTCGGTTTGTGTTTGGGACTCTTGGATGGTCTTGAATTCTTTCCCACTGGATGCCCATCCAGCCACACTTGTTTGGAGGGTAATCTATCAGTTAGAACTCGTGAGTGTTTTTCCCCACCTGCCAGGTGAGGGTTGTTAGATTTTATCACAGCTGTTCTTCCTCCTCCGCCTCCGCCTCCGCCGCCTCCTCGTCCTCCTCCTTTCTCCTTCCTCCTTGCTTCCTTCCTCGCCAATCTGCTTCGCCGATCTTGTCTGGCCAGCTCCGGATCGCAGTGTGCACCCCTGGACCTCAACTCGCAGTGTGCACCCCTGGACCTCAACCGCAAGGATCCGATCGCAGTGTGCATCCCTGGACCTCAACCGCAAGGATCCGATCGCAGTGTGCACGCCTGGACCTCAACCGCAAGGATCCGATCGCAGTGTGCACCGCTGGACCTCAACCGCAAGGATCCGATCGCAGTGTGCACCGCTGGACCCCAACCGGATAGTTTGCCAAATGAAATCCACAAACACACAATTGCAAACACACGACCACAAACGCGCAACCACAAACACACAACCACAAACACAATCACAAGCCCACAATCACAAACACACAACTACAAACACAACTGCAAAGACACAATCACAAACACATACTGTAACCACAAACACATAACCACAAACACACAACCACAACCACAAACGCACAATCACAAACACAATCACAAACACAATCACAAATACAACCACAAACACGCAACTACAAACACAATCACAAACAAACACACAACTACAAACACAACTACAAAGACACAATCACAAACACACAACCACAAACATACAACACACAACCACAAACACACACACACAAACATACAACCACAAACACACAACCACAAACACACAAACGCGCAACCACAAACACACAACCACAAACACAACCACAAACACATCCACAAACACAACCACAAACACACAACCACAACCACAAGTACAAACACACAATCACAAAGACACAACCACAACCACAACCACAACTACAAACACACAACCGCAAACACAACTACAAACACACAATCACAAAGACACAACCACAACCACAACTACAAACACACAATCACAAAGACACAACCGCAACCACAACCACAACTACAAACACACAATCACAACCACTACCACTACCACAAACACACAACCACAAACACACAACCACAAACACACAACCACAAACACAACCACAAACACACAACCACAAACACACAACCACAAACACAACCACAACCACAACACAGCACACAACCACAGCGCACAACCCGAGGACCCACAAGCAACATCGAGAACTACAATACTGACGACTATGGCAACATGCTCCTCACTATGGCATCAAGACAAATGATTGAAATGTCATGGTGTAAGTGGGCTAAGATTAGCAAGGGCCCCTTACCTGGCCCCTTACCTTACCTTAGCTTCGATGGGGTTTAGCCCCTTTACCTTCGTGGCCGCTCCCGCGCAAGGAATTGGAGGCCCTACAGGCAATGCTCCAATCGAAGCCCGCAGCGGCTGCTTGAGAGGACAGGAAACGTGTCACACTGCGGGAGTTGCCGCGTGGGGCGCGGCACACTGCACGTGGGGCGCTTCTGCTGCTTGTGCGAAAGGTGTGACGTTAAGGCAAAGGAGACCAAAGATTTTGGAACACTTTACTCGGAACCATTTGGAACCTGATATTACACAGTATAGAACGTTGTGTGATATGACACTAACGTGAGGTTTTTGTATGCCGTGTGAAGATATAATCCTGTTTAAGCTTTATGGCGGGCAGGATGTTCTTGCCAAGAGCGGGAGTGATTGCCATAAAGATAAGTGATTTTGCTCGCAAGTGTTCAATGGGCAGGCTGGCAGCGAAACGCGCCTGAGACAGCGAGGAGGAAAGTTCAAGTTCCTGGCGGCATAAAGAGACGATGTTGCAAGAGAAAATAATTAGAAACCTCCCAATCATGAAACACATCAGAACACCTTGGGTGGGTTTTAATGAGGAGAAATAAGATGCTTTGCGGTGTTTGGTCTGATAGATGCTTGGAAGCCCCTTTCCATCACCATGCTCGCAGATTTTTTGCTCATGGAACTAGATTCTGGTAGGCTAACTGTCATCGTGGTCCTTGTTAGCCATTGGATTCGGTCTTGGTGGTCGACTGATAGCGGTGATTCCATAGCCCTGCGAAGTGAATTGGCAGCTGTCCGGACAGAGATCCTTCGAGCTGAACAGACTATCAAATTTGCTAATCACTCTTTGGAAAGCTGTTTGGGTGTCAACTTTCTTCAATCATTGGCCTTGAAGTGCATTGGACTTTTTGTCCTCCAGTGTGTGTTGATTGCTGCTGGATATCTGGTGTATCGTAAGTACTTGCTGCGTGGGGTATTTTTCGAAGCTCCAGTGGTAGTGGATTTGCCAGCTGCACTGCCTAGTCCAGTTAGCTCTGGAAAGTCTCCAGAGCCTTCGAAAGTTACTCCGATTCCAGTGCGTAGTGGGCCAGTCCGGCCATCAGACCTGAAGCGATTGGCTGATCAGTATGGCCAATGATCCCAAGACCTTAGACATTCGTGAACCTCAAGTGATTCGTCATTATCCACAGGATGCTGGTGGTTTCTATTGGCATCATAGGGTGTTACTTGAAAAGACTGGTCCCGGGCAATGGATAGCGTTGACTCCTGATGGTGATTTGGAGCGTATCGATCTTACAGTTGTTCCTCACATCACTCTGGATCGTAACAGCGATTTCCCGGATGCCCAGTCCCCGTATGTATACGCCTTTGATGAAATTCCTCGGGCCCAGCTTGACCATCACAAACGCAGGGCCAAGACCATGAGTAATTTGTTCAATGATGCCACTGTGGAAGAGATAGAGAGTTTCGAATGGCTTGTTGCTGATGTCACACGTGATGATTTTGGGGAAAGCTTCAGAGCCGAAGACATGGTTGATGCTGTGTACATTCATGATTCAGCATTGGTTGAGTATGAGGGCGAAGTGGTCCATGCAGTCCGTGTTCCCACTTCCAAGAGATCGGAGTGGATTCAGCAGAGAGAGAAAACCAAAGGTGACTCTCGGCTTTTGGGAGATCACCGTGATGCACAGGGTCGTAGGTATCTTTCCTTTCAGGCTGCGCTCGATCTCATGACCTCGGTTGAGTTTTCCGATTGGCCCATCACCGGGCCCAGAGCAACAACTGAGTTTCTCCGTAGCATCCGTGAGGGAACCTCTGACCTGGTGACATATCACTTGCAGTGGGCCCGCAACAGTGGAGTGTCCTCCTATGCCGCATGTCTTCACGAACACCGATGTTTGTGTGATTACCTTCGGCACTTGATTACAGTTGACCAAGTCGATGTGTCAAATTTGTTGGGTGCCGAGATGATATGCCGTCGTCTCATCACAATTGAGACTGCCGTTGCTAGGAATCCCCAGATGCCTGATTTTAGTGGTTTGGAATTGGTGATGGAAGATAGCATTGGCCAGACAGGTGAGGCCAAAACCACCAACTTCACTGCTTGGATCAGCTCAAAGCTGAAAGAAAAGGCACAGGTCCAGAAGCAGGCCAGGCTCTATAAGGAGGAGTTTGGGAGAGGCCGTGGATCGACCGGAAGTGGTGATGCTGAACAGAAAGGTCGTGGCCGTGGTCGCGGGAAAGCCAAAGGAAAGTCGCGCGGGGGTAATGATGCCCCCGCGAGTGGCTCCTAAGTTCCTGGCAATTGGGTGGTGGATAACAAACCTTCTGCCACCCTGTTTTCTGAATTCGATCTCCGTCTTCTCTGACTGCCTTGCACCCTCGTCCAGGCCCTTTGCCTTGCTCTTCTTTGTCACTGCCCTTGTGGCATATTGGGTCGGGGGACTGGACTTGGGTTGCTTACAGATGACTTTTGGCATTCAGTGCATGAGGCATTTTGGCGAAACACTGGAACAGGAGAGGCGGCATGGTTTTGTTTTTCCGATTCCGGGTGGCGCCATTGCGGAACAGCCCACGCTGGTACGTGATTCCCTCTTTGGTTTGAACAAACTGGCAGGTGTAAAATTCAATGATGCAAGTCAGCTATTTCATCGTCCCTTGACTGCTGTTCAGAGTGTGGCTGTTGACAATGCAGGTGCAGCGGTCGCCGAAGCAGGGGAATGTCCTAGTTTGTGTGGGCGTGATGCCTTAAAGGACATGAGGAAATCCCACCCCACATATGGGGAGCCCAGCACTCTCGCACCTTTTGAAGCGGCGAAGCTGAAGATTCTTTTTTCTTTAGGTCGGCCGAAACCCATCGAGACGCTGTTGCCTCCACATGTGATTCCACTTCTCAACAGGTGGAAAACTCACATTGAGCTTTCAGCCGAAGAGGTTCGATCTAAGTTGGATGCATCGCCTGAGTGTTGCCCTAAGAGACCTTATTGGGATCCTATTCTGCAGAAGTCCAGAGATGTCCGAACCAAGTTGATTGTTGACCTGTGGAAGGTTGGAGTTGTGACGTTTCGAACATCTATCAAATCATCCATCGGCTTGTTTTTTGTGAAGAAGAAAACGCCAGAGTGGATTCGCATGGTAGTTGACTGTCGGATTAGCAATGTGCATCATAGACAGCCACCGGTCACCCGACTCGGCAGTCCTTCGTGTTTCGGCGATCTTGAGATGAGTCCCGAAGTGTTGAAGGCCAGACTTGGCCGCGACTGCAATCAAGTTGGATGGGGGGCCGAGTTGGATGTAGCCGACTGCTTCTATCAGTTTGAGATGAAACAGCTTGCCAAGTGGTTCGGCATTGATGATCCCCGCAAAACTGCAGATTGGGCAAAGGCAGGTGTTGACATCACTGAAGTTTACGATGAAGACCTGGAGACCATGGTTCTGCTAAACGATGATACAGTGGTATACCCTGTGATTGGTGCAATGCCCATGGGATGGACGTGGGCTCTCTTCTTTGCTAACGAAACGGTCGCCGCGATAGCCCGTGCGACTGCACCTGAGCGACCACTGGAGTGCCGTGAGAAGCTGCCAACGCCACAACTTTGGGAAGGTGAGACCATTACCTCCACCTATGTTGATAATGTCGCAGTTTTCGGTGCCCACAAGGTTGATGTGATCGCTCGCATGGATTCCCTCACCAAAGCATTTGCAAACCATGACATACCAGTTGTCTGGACTCAGCAGGAGCCTCTGCAGTGTTTCGAAACAGTCGGCGTGATTCTTGATTTTCGCAACCGAGTTGTCCGTAATAAACCAAGCCGCTTGTGGAAAGCCTATCTTGCTGGAAGAGAGTTGTGTCGTAGAACCAAGGTTCGCGGTGATGCTGTTGAAGTTTGGACAGGGCATGTAACATCTCTCTTCCGACTTTCTCCTTCCCTGCTGTCAGTTTTTTCGGTGATTTACCGATTCAATGCAGTGTGCCGTGGGAAGAGGGTTCGACTCTGGCCAGCAGTGCGTGCCGAGATCATGCAAGCCTCCTCACTCCTTTGGTTTGCAAGAGCCAAGCTTGATGGTAGCTTTGTCAACCAGGTTGATATGGGTGATTCCTCGACTTCTGGATATGCCATGCTGACTCGTAGTTTTGCTGAGGTTAAGATCCAGGAAGTGGCTCGTGTCCGTGAGAAATGGAGGTTCATCCCAATGCCTGATGACTTCAAATCTGCCATTGAGTTTTTTAACAGGCCTGGTAATAGGGATGAGGTTGAAAGCCGTGAGCACATCAAGGCCTTTGTCAGAGCCGGAGTGGGACCCAACACTGAGTATGGTGTTTGGCTTCAGCAAGCTTTGGTTGACGGAAATTGGTTGCAGACAAGTCCGATTGTTTCCCAGTTCAAAGCTGTTAGAAAGAGGCGTGAGGATGTTGAGGTCCCGGCATTGGTGGAACCAATTCCTTCTGATATGGTGAGCGAAGGTTCATACAAGTTGCTTTGGATGCGCAAATGGCGGAATCCCGATGAACACATCAATATCAAGGAAGGTCGGGTGCTTTTGTCGTCATTGAAGAGAGCTGCCAGGGTGTCGTCGCAATGTGGCACTAAGAAGCTAACTTTCTCTGACAACCTTAGTGCTGTGTTGGCCTTTGAGAAAGGGCGGTCGTCGAGTGCTGCGTTGAATAGGCTGTGTAAGTCTAGTGCTGCCATACAAAACGCGCTTCAGATAAAGTGGAGGATCCGACATCTTGAGACAAAGCGAAATTTAGCAGATGCACCTTCCAGAGGAAAGTGGTTCAGGACTCCAGTCCCTGACCCACATGTGATTTTAGCAGAGCCTGTCTTCAGTCCTAGCAAGCCTTCAGTGATCCCTAGTGTGTCCGCTCGTTGCAAGACTAATTTATCCCTTGATGCCTTAGTGCCTCCGCCTGGGTTGGGTTGGACTGCCGTCCATCATATGGCCAAAAATAGCACCTGTGATTCCAAGATGAGTTCCTGGCATCCTGCCAGCGGTGCATGCAATGACCATGGACGTCCGGCCTCTTCCAGCACTAGTGTAAAAAAGGCGAAGGGGGTGAAAGTCTTCTGGGAGCTGTTCTCGGGTGAAGGAAACTTGTCCAAAGCTATGAGAAGTCATAGGCTGTTTGTGCATACGCCTTTGGACATCAAACAAGATCCTAGCCTTGATCTCACAATTGAACCAGTGCAACGGCAAGTGCGACAATGGATTGTGGATGGTCATGTCGACTACCTTCATATGGGTACGCCTTGCACAGTCTTTTCCAGAGCTAGGCGTGGCATCAAAAACTTCACTAAAGCTAGATTCAATGAGAGGATAGGTTGTGAACTCGCTTTTTTCTCTTGTGAACTGGCCAGACTGTGCAGCAAGCTGGATGTCAAGTGGAGCATCGAAAACCCCCAGTCTTCTAGGATTTGGAGTCTCGATTGTATCCAAGATTTGTTTGGGCTTCCCGATGCCGTTGTGATTGACTTTCCAATGTGTGTTTATGGGCAACCCTTCAAAAAGCCAACACGGTTGTTGTCGAATTGCAGTAGCCTTGTTAGCCTTGCTGCCACGTGTCCACACCATAAGCATGCTGAAGTTTTGAAAGGCCGCACGTGGTCTCCGACATATGGATGGACCAATAAAACCACTCTTGCTGGTGCATATCCACCTTCACTTTGCAAAAAGTGGGCTCGAGTGATTAGGGATGATCCGTTGGTGAGAACACATGATAAGAAAAAGCTTGGCCCAGACTTTGGCCAAGTCTTCAAGCCATGCCGTGGTCAGTCAGTTGCACCAAAGACTTGCACAGAACAAGACAAGCAGTTTCCAATCACCTCGGGGATCCCAGGTCTCCTCGATGAAGTTGCTTTCGGGCACCACTCAAAAGCGGAAATCGCACAGCGAAAAGCCAGAAAAATTCGAGCCCGTCAAAAGAAGAAAGCGTGATCCATTACATCTGCCAGTCGTTGTCTCGGATAACCGCATCCTGCAATGCTCCAAAGTGAAGCCTAAGACATTGAAGGTGTATGATAGATCAGCCTCTGAATTTGTCGCGTGGTGCAAGCTGAACAATAAGTCTCTTGGCAGTCACCTTCGCACAGATGAAGCGATGTCCAGGTATATCCACGAGCTTTGCTGGGAAGGGGTTTCTCTGACTGAGGCATCGTATGCAGTTTTTGGATATATCATGCTTCGTAGCCCGTCTTCTTGGCACATGCATGACAGAGAGAAGTTTCCCATCTCTCGTCAAGCCTTGAAGGGTTGGAAAGCCAGATTTCCAGGTAAATCACGCACAGGAGTTGACCTCGTGCTTTGGGATCTTGTGGCACTGTCAGCTTGTGAAGTTGGAAACTTTTTCACTGCAGCAGCAATCATTTTGCAGGGTGATACCTACCTTCGTCCATCTGAACTGCTGGAGCTAACAGTGCGACATATGTTGAAGCCTTGTCGTCGTCAGAAATGTTGGGGGGTCATGGTAGGCCTTTCAGATGATGGAGTCCCTGCGAAGAACGGTGAGTTTGACGAATGCGTTTTTCTTGACACAACAGCACGACCTGATGTCAATCAGGTTGCGAGCCTTCTGGTTAAGAATGCCTGTTCTGCTGACGGTATGTTGTCTGGTACATTATCTCTTGAACAGTATGAGAAACAAATCAAACAAGCTGCCTCTGCCGTTTCTTTAGGTCACTTGAATCTGTGTCCCCACATGTTAAGACACAGTGGTGCTTCGCATGATGCCTTTCACCAAGAAAGGTCTCTCAAGGAAATCCAAGTGCGTGGTAGGTGGAAAGCAGTGCAGTCTGTCAATCGGTATCGCAAACCTGGATTGATGCTGCTTCGACAATCTTCTGTCCCGCGAAGTGTTTGGAAGAAAGCAGATCAATCACGACAGCTTGTGCTCTCCCACCTTCGTAAGTTTTTTGGCTAGTACTTAAGGGCTTCGCCCAGTCCTTCCTTATGGGCTATGGGCAGGTGATGGGTTCACAAAGCAAGTGTTGCAGCCAGCAACGCA